AGCAGACATAGCCCCTCTACACAAGGGAGGGAGCAAAGCATTGGCAAAAAATTATAGACCAGTTGCACTAACATCGCACATCATAAAAGTATTTGAGAGAGTGATTAGGAGTCAGGTCACCAATTTCATGGAGACCAATGACCTTCATAACCCAGGCCAACATGGATTTCGAGCGGGAAGATCGTGCCTCTCACAGCTACTTGAGCACTACGACAAAGTCACTGAGGCATTAGAAGAGAAACAGAATGCTGATGTGATATACACGGACTTCGCAAAGGCCTTCGATAAATGTGACCATGGCGTGATAGCACACAAAATGAAGTCAATGGGAATAACCGGTAAAGTAGGACGCTGGATACTCAGTTTTCTGTCAAACAGGACTCAGCGAGTAACTGTCAACCATATAAAATCTAGTCCAAGTGCAGTGAAAAGCTCTGTACCTCAGGGTACAGTCCTTGCACCACTGCTTTTCCTTATTCTCATATCAGATATAGACAAAAATACAAGTCACAGCTTCGTATCATCCTTTGCAGATGACACAAAAATCAGTATGAAAATTACCTCGGCTGAGGACATTGAAAAACTTCAAGCTGATATTAATAAAGTTTTCGACTGGGCATCAGAAAATAACATGATGTTTAACAGTGATAAATTCCAGGTACTCAGGTACGGTAAAAATGAGGACCTTAAACATAATACAGAGTACAAAACACAATCAAATGTACCCATAGTAGGAAAACAGCATGTAAAGGATTTGGGAATAATAATGTCGGACGACCTAACGTTTAAGGAGCATAACCAAGCAAATATTGCGACAGCCAGAAAAATGATAGGATGGATTACGAGAACTTTCAAATCCAGGGATCCCATCACAATGGTTGTACTCTTCAAGGCACTTGTGTTGTCCCGTCTTGAGTACTGCTCAGTACTCACTTCCCCCTTCAAAGCAGGAGAGATTGCTGAAATAGAGGGAATACAGAGAACATATACGGCATGCATAGACGCAATAAAGCACCTAAATTATTGGGATCGTCTCAAAGCCCTCCAAATGTACTCACTAGAAAGACGACGAGAGAGATATCAAATAATATACACCTGGAAGATACTGGAGGGCCAAGTACCAAATCTACACAGTAAAATAACAACGTACTGGAGTGAACGACATGGGAGAAAATGTAGAATAAAACCAATGAAGAGCAGAGGTGCCATAGGCACAATCAGAGAACACTGTATAAACATCAGAGGTCCGCGGTTGTTCAACGTCCTCCCAGCAAGCATAAGAAATATTGCCGGAACAACCGTGGACATTTTCAAGAGGAAACTAGATTTATTCCTCCAAGGAGTGCCGGACCAACCGGGCTGTGGTGGGTATGTGGGCCTGCGGGCCGCTCCAAGCAACAGCCTGGTGGACCAAACTCTCACAAGTCGAGCCTGGCCTCGGGCCGGGCTTGGGGAGTAGAAGAACTCCCAGAACCCCATCAACCAGGTATCAACCAGGTATCAACCAGGTCTGAACCTGGGAGGGAACCAAATGGGACTTCCTCCAGTTCACCAAGAACCCGAACCCGGCGAGCTGGGAAAGAACCAAGTCCCTGGCTAGCAAACAAGAGGACCGGCTGGGAGCCCAAACCAGCCAGTTGACCTTGTCGAGCTAGGCCAACACCCGTACACCTAAGAGATGTAGATGGGCCACGACGACCCGGGTAAGACGTGTGAACACGTGAGGTGCCAGGTTCAACCCGAATGAGACAACGAAAGCGGTAACCCTGACGCCCCACAACAAAACCAAGCCAATCCCTGAACCCCGGATGAATTGGGACATGACAATAAGTGTCCTGATGGTCCAGGGACACCATCCAAGAGCCCGGCGCCAACAGGAGCCAAACCTGGGACAGCGTAGTCATCTGAAAGGAGGGGCAATGAACTCAGGGGTTCAGACGGGACAAGTGCAGAATGAACCTCAGGTCCGCACAGTCCCGTTTTGCACTGGGAACAGATGGGAGACCCATCTGAGGGACGACGTCGTTTTGATGACACCCAAGTGTACCTACTCCAAGACGACTTGACGGAGCGCAGGGGAAGAGGCTTGCCCCGCCAGCCCTGAAGCCCCCGAAAGGGGGGGGGGGGGGCGCCACCCAACGCGACCGCAGGCCAAAACAAACGACCTGGAACGCCCACAAATCGTGGAACCAGGTGTGAGCGAACAGTACAAGCCTCCCCACCATCGCCCTGTCAATGGTGCGAACCGCAAAAGGGCCGGCGCCCCTTACGAGACCCAGAACCTCGCACAGAGCGAACACCGCGCCGACCAGACGAAGGTGGGTCTGAAAACGGAGCCGAACCTGAAACTGGCACTTGTGGCCTACCGCGACGAGCGGAACCCCGAGCCCTGGCACAACCTCTCCGGGAAAGCCCCCTTCCCCTTTGGGACTCCAGGAGAACCAACAAATCCGACATAGGACGGCACCTGGCCGAAGCAGCCTGAGTATACTGCGCCACGGCCGAAGGCGCAAAAAGCAGAGGACAAAAAGGCGAAGACATCCTAAGAGCCAGGGCCCAGGCAGATTCCCGAGAGGAGGCAAGCACCGCCTGCCGACACGCGAGCCGGGAAGCATCAGTGAAACCGCATCCTGCAAGATCGGCGCAAAGAGCTTCAACAAGGCAGCTGATGCACGAGTCGCCGTGCCCAAGGCACCAGACCCCGGAACGGACCCAAGCGACCCCACATCCTCCCTAAGCCAGTCCAAAGACAGCTCCAGGAGGGAAAAGAAGTGCAATGCCTAAGCAAAGAGGCCCCGGGTGCACAAATCCTCGGCCACCTGCACAGCCGAAAGGGAGGGAACCTGCAAATGGAGCTGCAGAACGCCAACATCCCGAGGAAGGGCAGGAGCAAACAAGTGCTCATCGAGGTGCTCAAGTTCGCCCCCCCCAGGAAAACCTGATCCACCGTTGAAGCCTCGCACCACACAAACATGCGGGAATGACAGAAGGAATGCCATGCCTCCAAAGCGAAGACAGGACAGTCCGCCAGCCATGACGACTCCAAAACCTCGTAACAGACCCTGAAAGAGAACGAAGCTGTTTAACTCCCAGGTACCTATTTACTGCTAGATGAACAGGCTCATCAGGGTGAAAGAAAGTTTGCCCATTTGCTTCCGCCTCCACCGGGGATTGAACCCGGAACCTTAGGACTACGAATCCTAGGCGCTGTCCACTCAGCTGTCAGGCCCTTACCTGACAGTTGGGTAGGAAGTTCTGGTTGCTACCCAAAGTCAAACAGTGGCAAGAAAACCCCAGCTGACCCCAAAGGCAGGCAATCACTGAGCAGCAAAAGAACCCTACAGACGTAGTTCTGGAACAGTTTGTGGAAGGGAATCCCAAACTGCCAGGGGAGTACTTACAGGGCACCTAGGGAAGGTAATCCCAGGTGCATGCAGCCCCAGTACTACACGAATTACACCTGGCTCGCGCACCATCACACAGCAGCACAACACCGTAAGACACAGCACTGCTCAAATATTAGAGCCAGAGTCGAATGACCACCACTCAACACATTAGCCTCAGAACTGGAATAGGACAGCCGGCGTGGGGGGTCTGGGACCCCCCTTCCCCCTCCCAGGGAGGGGGGGGGGAGAGCTGCACAGACAGCGGCAATGGTGACATCATGCTTGTTCGCTTGTTTTCAGTTTGGGGCGTTTTGCTTGTTACTTCGGTTTTCGGTTGCAATTTTTAACCAGCTGTAATTTGTTTTGGGACACCTACATTTCTGGGTGTCTAGATGGCAGACATAGAATGCTTCCAACCACATGGGGGTTTCTATAGTCCATTGCTACTCGTGCCTTAGTAGATTCAAAATGTTATACAACAAAGAGTACTGGGAAGATGGGACACCATGAGCGTAGCTCTCATCCTATAACTACAGTTAGGTAATTACACACTCTCTTTTTCTCTCTCTCACTCACCCACACATCCACCCTCTCTCTCACTCACCAACACACCCACTCTTTCACTCACCCATTCTCATACTTACAGATAATCTGAATCATTACACTTTCATTCAAGAAACCCTCTTTACCATCTGCTTTCACCCAGATTCTTTCATTAACCACCCACCCAATATCTTACAATCATATTCCCCTCATCAACCCACTCTTACCCTCCTACCTCCCCCTCACTCATTTTCCTAACAGTCTAGAAAAACTAACATACTAGAAAAAAACAAAAAATCTTGCCCACCCCTTCTCTCCCCTAATACCTATTCTCTGACCAATCATCTCATTCACGCAGATAAGATCAACCCTGTAAATGAGGTTATAAACAAAACAAAACAAAAATGAAGGGAGAGGGGTGGAGTGGGGGCTTGGGGTGTGGGGGACAATTTTGAAGTGAAAAATGATCTGACTGAAAATCAAGAATTTATATTTGCTAACCAATGCAACAAATGACGGTGTAGCCGACATCAATGAATAATTTGGCAAAGGTAGTTACAAGTAAAGTCCTTATAAGTTACTAGAGCAGAAAGAACAGATGGAAAAGAATGTAACAGAACTGGGATTACGGGGAAGGCAGTCCGAGGCACTGGAAAGAGGGCATAAAGATTAAGTTATGTAGGGAAAAATAAGAGCAACAGAGAAAAGAAGCAACCTTAAGAAAACTGTAAAAATGCTGAATAATGTATATCAATTGAGCTGCTTAACATTCTGTTGCCTAAATTCTTAAATAACATGACAGATGCTACTCAAGATGAGAGAGAATCACACAGAGTGCTCAATGGTAGGAGTCTACTTAACTTACCTTAGTCTACTCTACTTAACTAAAATATCTAATCTACTTAACTAAAATACATATCTTAACTTTAAAAAAACCTTATTGATATTTCTACAGCATTGAAAAGTGACATTACTAAACTGAAAATAGTCTTTTTTGTCTCTTATTTCTATGGAAAAATTCAGGACAGGATAGGGTATGTTAGCGAGGATCACGTGTTAATTATAACTCACCAGCCGCCCCAGGCAAGAGGGACCCGGCATGAGGCGAAGAGTGAGTTGGAGAGAGTGTGGGTACCATAGAATGGACTGGTGTGTCCAGGAGACTTGTATTCTCACCACGAGACCCTTCACAGTTTCTCCCATCTGATCCACTACTAAGGCTTGGTCTGGGCCGCGTGTAGCTCACAACGGCTGATGTACCAGACAAGTTTTCCCCATTGTTGTTACCTCCAAGGGATCCTCCGCTACCGTTGTTATCGCGATTCAGGTTTGACGATCCTCTTGCGTTGCGCTTTGCCAAGTATGCAGCAATCATCTGAGGTCTGATGAAATACATTTATCAAATAATTTATTTCATAATAAAGTTAATGTTAAAATAACTAGTATTATACTGTATACATAGCATTTATGACAGCAAACTTATATTTCACCCAAGCATGTTACACAAGCAACTGGATAGAGTTGATCCATCAATACTAGATGTAATATTTATAAGGAAGAGGAAGAGGAAATAATTGAGGTACAATATTTATTTCTTATTGAGAAGAATGCCCACATTCCAATGGCAATACATAACTATGCTGTCATGTTTGATGTTGTCGCCAGAGACGGTAAAGAAAAGAATGTGAAATTGGCTTGCAACACTGAAATCTGGAATAACAAGACTACTTTTGAGATATTGAGAGCTAGAGGGAGTGAATGTCAATATAATGCATGCAAAATTTTAGTCTAAGAAATTAAATAAAAAAAAAGATTTAATAATGCATGCTGGAAAGCCACGGAGGAAAAATTAAAAGCCTGGAACTATTAGAGGGAACAACCAACCCTCGAACTTATCCGCATTAGAAACAAGCCACAATTAGGTATACTGATCCATACAAGAACAGCAAAGGAGGAAATCTTTAAAAAGGCACCGCTGACAAAACCATACAAGACTCGTAAACCTTTTATTTTCCAGAGTTTATAAAGAGCAAACTACAGCTTAAAGAAAAATCCAGAGGCTGAAATTTAACAACATACTTTTTGGAGTGGCCAGAAGACATATGTGACACTCACAATATAATGTACCAAAGTGCATTTACCAAGGAACAGACCACCAAAGCTGACACATGGGCCACAACGTGCTTCAAAAAAAACATTAGCTACTGAGGGGGCCAGCCCATAAATAATAATATACAAGTACTAACAAAAAGAGACTACTATATTTCTTAGCATAAGATATGCCAGTACTGTACAGTAGTAGTAGTAGTAGTAGTAGTAATAATAATAATAATAATAATAATAATAATAATAATTAGTAGTACTGTACTGTAGTAGTAACAATAATCATGAAAAGAGGGAGAGTGTAAGAGGAAAGAGCAGGATGCAGTTTCCTCACTTGGCAACTTGAACATAGTTCCCCGGGAAGACGCCAGTTCTATCCGTCGTAATGCAGCGTCCCTTGTACCATCCATCCTGGCATTTTTCTGTTACTGTGTATATGTAGCCTTTTCTTAATTCTAGCTCGTCAGCTTTTCGTCCTCGATATGAGTACAAGGCAACATAACTGAAAAAAAAAACTTTTACAATAATTTTATGTACACAGTAATGCATATGATGCACAATATGGCAATGAGAACACTTATACCGAGGCAACAAACCTGTTATAATACAACCATGTTTATAGTAGACACACTGTTCCAATGGGCACAATATCCAAACAGTAATGTAAATACAACATTAAATTACTGGTACTCTTTTAGATACTGTGCCCTCTAGGGTGCTGGTGGGTATTGGGGAGTCACAGTTTTCAGAATACAGGAATGAGAACAATTTGTGTGTCTTGATTCAATGGTGCCAGTGTCATAGGATATGGTAGTTACTGTATTGAGGAGCCCCACACAGAAACAGAAGGAATACTGTAGTTCTCTGATCACATTTTATGGTAAAAAAAAAATGTGAATGCCATCTGTATCATTGGAAAGACACAGATAACACAAATACTGTATTCTCTCTTATTCTTTGCATTCATCTTGCTTACACTTATTCAGTGTAACAATAACACTTATTCAGTGTTATTCTTCTGAATCTTGTAGAAAAAGCTATAATTTATTTTTGTTTTGTTTTGCCCATGTGACCAATAACTGCAGTCAAATTACAGGCACTGTATTATTAATACAAGATTCCATGACATTATCTCACATTGGTCATTTGGTAAATGCTGCTAATATGCACCACAGGCTGCTCATTCACATAAAAACTATGAACAGAACAAAATATAGCTCAATCTCATCATCTTGCCTTGGGATGGCATCAGTGAACCATACAGCTTAGTACAATATTTATAGTAAATGCTCTACTGACGTAGAACCTCAACAAGAGGTTCATGAATTGTCTTGAAGTTATAAATAAACTTTTCCATACTGTTACAAAATAACTTTGTATGGAAAATCGAACAACAACTGTAGTGATTTGCTTACAATGTAGTTGCTGTCACTTGTGGAGTAGATGAAGAGAGCCCCAGAGAGCTTGTTGTAACTACAGCAGGTCGTACTCTTGGTGATCCTTGAAATTCCGTTACCGTTGTTTGTTCTCCACTAACTATGACTTCCTGAGAATCATTTGGTGTAGGTCCTGGCCCACCAGCACTAAAGTCAGCAGAACCTACATTACATCCATGGTTGGAAGGCTCCTCAGTGGGGCTTACAATTTCTAAGGAATGTCTGTTGACAAGAGAGAGAATTACAAGAATAGTAATGACAAAACTACATATCGATAAGATGCCTATGAAATAATATTAACAAATTAAAATGTCTTTCACTCCCTCACTCCAACCTATTCATTCCCCTTCTCTATCTTAGAACTGCTAAGCCTGAAACATTAATCCTTAGGCTGCGCAAGCAATTTTACCATGCAACACCCAGGTGCGAATAAAATAAAGTGCTGTGAAAAAATTAGTTGTTCTTTAGACATTGTTAATTAGCATCCAGGAAAGAAGAAATCCAAATAAAAAGTATTTATCTCTTGTGGTTTAGCCGCAGTGGGCCAGAGAAGTTGCGTTTTTTCAGTAGAAGTGAGGTGAGGTGCCACACGCAAATAACTATCAATTTATTTTCCTTTTGTCTTGCTTTGTTTATATAAATTTTTGTTCTAACATGTTGTTCTGACGTGTCTAAGATGGGGTTCATTAGGTATAACTTTTAAAATACTGGTATAGGTATGTGTATAAATATATACACATGTATTTATTCATAATATACATATGTGTGTGTGTGTAAATATATATTAAATATATCACCCCCCAAACACACACACACTGTAAAACAAATGTGTATATGGAAACAGGAAAATAAGTGAGCATCATCACACTGAAGAGTCACACTGCTGCAGGCTCCAGGATAATTCAAATTATCTAAGTGTTGGGAATAGGGTGAAGGTTGCAAGTGGTGTCCCAGAATACATGAAGGTGTAGGCAATTTGAAAATAAACTAAGAAATAAGAAATAAGTGTTAGTGAATGAAAAATCTTGGCAAGAAAAGTTGATCTTTCAAAACAGCAGAATGTCAACAAAGATGGCCGCCATCACAGGGGAACACAGCACCCCATCAAGAGAATGTTTTGCAGGTTTCTCGCAACAAGATGTAATGAAAGGTGGTTTTCTTGGCAGGTTAGTCATTTTTGAGGACATGCTTAATAATTATGAAGAAAAGGTTATTAAATTAGAAGAAGAAAAATGAAGGTCTCACGATTAAGTTTTGTATTTTAAAAGGAAGTAATTGCCAGCAAGATATGGAAATTACAAGCTTGACTGATAAGGTAAGGATGCAGGAGGAACACATGAAGGAACTAGTAAAGGATAATGAGGCATGGAAAGTGAAGAGTAGGGAATTTGAAGAAATTAGCAAAAAAATTCTCATATGGTGAACACCTCCAAGGGAGCCTGAGGGCTAACATGGAGTTAAGCAAGAAGATGCAACGAGAAACTTCATTGGCAACTCAAATAGAGGAGGCTAATAAAGAACTAGAAAAGTATAAAGAAGAAATAAAAGAGACGTGTGCACGAGTTGTAAAAGAGAGAGAGACATTCAAGGAAGTGTGTTCGGAAGTCAAAACCAGAAATGACCAACAAGAAGCAGAAATTAGGCAAGTAATTAGGAAAGAACTGGTTACCAACAGTAAACTGGTACAAAACACTGCAGATAGAACTAAGTCCATAATAATTTTTGGATGTTTAGAGAAGGAAATTTCATCTAGGGTGGACCGAGCAGCAGAAGAGATGAAAATCAAAGAAAATAGTAGGTTTAGGAGAAGGCTCAAAGGAAAATGTCAGTGATTTTAGAAGAATAGGAAAATATGAGAAAGACAAGAACCGCTCCTTAAGGGTGATGTTTAATGGAGTGGAAAAACATGATGGAAGTGCTTAGAAATGCCAGGAAATTGCAGAGTGATGAGGTTGGCAAACTTTGGTCAATAAGACATCTCAAAGGAAGACAGAGAAAAGCTGAAAATGAACCTAATTGAAGCAAAACGTCTAAATGGGGATAGAAATGAAAAAGACAGAAATTCTTTATACTACCATGTGTCAGGGACTGGGAAGCCTGTGAAATGGTACATTAAAACAAAGCAACACAATCATTAGTGGAAGGAAGAATAAAGAGCAAAGGGAAAGGGAACATATTCCTGAAAATTGTATGTACCAACATAGATGGAGTGACATTAAAAACTTTGGAGTTGCAAGATATAATTCAGCTTAAGGTCCCAGATATTGTCGCATTATCAGAGACGAAACTTGAAGGATATATATTAAGTCGTATTCCCAAGGGGCTATTCAGTTTGGAGACATGACAAGAAAACTAGGAAGGGAGGAGGAGTGGTTATGCTGGTGAAAGAACACCTGAAGGTAAAAGTGTTAATATTTGAAAACTCTTGCGATATTGACGTAATGGCTTTGTAGGTCTGGAATCAGGATGATAAGCTGATAATTTTAAATGCCTAAAGCCCACCAGCCAGCAACACATGGACAAAGGAAGAACTGGATGACAAACAAGAGTGCCTCATATTGGTCATGAGAGATATTATTGTACAAGCAGATAAAGATAAATCACGACTGTTGGTACTGGGGGACTTCAACTTTAAAGCAATAGACTGGGAGGCCTATGATGCAAGAACAATGGACTTTTGGACATGCAGATTTGTGAACCTCATTCTGGAGACATTCTTATATCAACAAATCAAGCAGGCCACAAGAATGAGGGAAGGAGATGTACCGTTAGTATTGGATCTAGTATTCACCAGGAAAGTAAAAGAGATATTTGACATCCAGTACCTTCCTCCCATGGGAAAGTGATCACGTCCTGTTGGATATTAAATATGCTTTAAAATATCATCTAGAAGAAAATGGGGACATTGAAACAGTTCATAAACTCGATTTCATGAGAGGTTGCTATGGGGAACTTCAAAATTTTCTTAATGAGTGTAATTGGACAGACTTGCTGCTAGGCAGGGAAGTAAATGAAATGTATGCTAAATTTGGCAAAATATACGATGAAGGCACACAAACATTCATACCAAAACAGAGATGCAGGGCCAGAAATCAGGATTGGTTCAACAGAAATTGCAAGAGGGCCAGAGACCAAAAGACACAAAAATGGAATCAATACAGGAAGAGGCCAAACCCCCAAACATACCAGCGATACAAAGATGCGCAAAACAACTATACAGCAGTAAGGAGAAAGGCAGAAAGAAATTTTGAAAAAGGGATAGCGGATAAATGTAAAACAGAACCGGGCCTATTCTACAAATTCATAAACAACAAATTGCAGGTAAAGGATAATATCCAGAGGTTGAATATGGGAAACAGATTCACAGAAAATGAAAAGGAAATGTGTGAAACATTAAACAAAAAGTTCCAAAGTGTGTTTGTACAAAATGAAATCTTCAGAGAACCAGACACAATAAGAATTCCAGAGAACAACATAGAGCGTATAGAGGTGTCTAGAGATGAAGTGGAAAATATGCTAAAGGAGCTAAGTAAGAACAAAGCAGTTTGCCCAGATGGAGTTTCACCATGGGTTCTGAGAGAATGTGCATCTGAGCTCAGCACTCCACTTCACCTGATCTTTCAGGCATCCCTGTGTACAGGAGTCGTAGCAGACGTGTGGAAAAAGGCTAACATAGTTCCAATCTACAAAAGTGGAAGCAGGGAAGACCCCCTCAATTATAGACCTGTATCATTGACAAGTGTAATAGTCAAAATATTGGAAAAAATAATAGAAACTAATGGATAGAACATCTGGAGAGAAATGATATAATATCAGACAGACAGTATGGTTTTCGATCTGGAAGATCCTGTGTATCGAATTTACTCAGTTTCTATGATCGTGCCACAGAGATATTACAGGAAAGAGATGGTTGGGTTGACTGCATCTATCTGGACCTAAAAAAGGCTTTCGACAGAGTTCCACATAAGAGGTTGTTCTGGAAACTGGAAAATATTGGAGGGGTGACAGGTAAGCTTCTAACATGAATGAAAATTTTTTTGACTGATAGAAAAATGAGGGCAGTAATCCGAGGCAATGTATCGGACTGGAGAAATGTCACAAGTGGAGTACCACAGGGTTCAGTTCTAGCACCAGTGATGTTTATTGTCTACATAAATGATCTACCAGTTGGTATACAGAATTATATGAACATGTTTGCTGATGATGCTAAGATAATAGGAAGGATAAGAAACTTAGATGATTGTCATGCCCTTCAAGAAGATCTGGACAAAATAAGTATATGGAGCTCCACTTGGTAAATGAAATTTAATGTGAATAAATGCCATGTCATGGTATGTGGAATAGGAGAACATAAACCCCACACAACCTATAAATTATGTGAGAAATCTTTAAAGAATTCTGATAAAGAAAGTGATCTAGGGGTGGTTATAGATAGAAAATTATCACCTGAGGACCACATAAAGAACGTTGTGCGAGGAGCCTATGCCACACTTTCTAACTTCAGAATTGCTTTTAAATACAGTACATGGATGGTGAAATACTAAAGAAATTGTTCACGACTTTTGTTAGGCCAAAGCTAGAATATGCAACGGTTGTGTGGTGCTGAAAGCTTAAGAAGCACATCAACAAACTGGAAAAGGTGCAAAGACATGCTACTAAGTGGCTCCCAGAACTGAAGGGTAAGAGTTTCGAGGAGAGGGTAGAGGCATTAAATATGGCAAAACTAGAAGATAGAAGAATATGATCACTATGAACAAAATAGTAACAGGAATTGATAAAATCGATAGCGAAGAGTTCCTGAGACCTGGCACTTTACGAACAAGAGGTCATAGATTTAAACTAACTAAACAAAGATGCCGAAGACATATAAGAAAATTCACTTTCGCAAACAGAGTGGTAGACGGTTGGAACAAGTTAGGTGAGAAGGTGGTGGAGGCCAAGACCGTCAGTAGTTTTCAAAGCGTTATACGAAAAAGAGTGCTGGGTAGACGGGACACCACAAGCGTAGCTCTCATCCTGTAACTCCACTTAGGTAATTACACTGAGGTAATTACACACACACACACATACATACTTATACAAGCCTAAATCATATAATTGGACATAGCACACGTTTTGTCTCAAAACATAATGATAATCACTCATTTGTTGTTGATAAAGGTCAGTGGCTCCTAATATAGCCCCCTGCACGTTCACACACTGGGTGGTGGCTCCTAGTATGGCTGCCCTGCACGTTCACACACTGGGTGGTGGCTCCTAGTATGACCGCCCTGTACGTTCACACACTGGGTGGTGGCTCCTAGTATGACCGCCCTGCACGTTCACACACTGGGTGGTGACTCATAGTATGACCGCCCTGCACGTTCACACACTGGGTGGTGGCTCCTAGTATGGCTGCCCTGCATGTTCACACACTGGGTGGTGGCTCCTAGTATGACCACCCTGCATGTTCACACACTGGGTGGTGGCTCCTAGTATGACCGCCCTGCACGTTCACACACTGGGTGGTGGCTCCTAGTATGGCCCCCTGCACGTTCACACACTGGGTGGTGGCTGCTAGTATGGCTGCCCTGCATGTTCACACACTGGGTGGTGGCTCCTAGTATGACCACCCTGCATGTTCACACACTGGGTGGTGGCTCCTAGTATGACCGCCCTGCACGTTCACACACTGGGTGGTGGCTCCTAGTATGGCCCCCTGCACGTTCACACACTGGGTGGTGGCTGCTAGTATGGCCCCTGCACGTTCACACACTGGGGTGGTGGCTCCTAGTATGACCACTCTGCATGTTCACACACTAGGTGGTGGCTCCTAGTATGACCGCCCTGCACGTTCACACACTGGGTGGTGGCTCCTAGTATGACCGCCCTGCACGTTCACACACTGGGTGGTGGCTCCTAGTATGGCCCCCTGCACGTTCACACACTGGGTGGTGGCTGCTAGTATGGCCCCTGCACGTTCACACACTGGGGTGGTGGCTCCTAGTATGACCACTCTGCACGTTCACACACTGGGTGGTGATGTTGCCAGATATGGTCCTCATTTTTTTTTTTACCTAGGCCCTAAAAGGAAAGTGAGGGACTCTGATTTTTTCTTTTTTTTTTCAACATGGAGGACTGTTACTGGAGGCCTGAGGAAGCAACTGCAAGCCCCATTGTGTAAGTCTTAAATCTTATGCAGTACCCTAATACTTCATACAATGGGATGCACAGTCTGAGCATGTTTAGGTATCTCATCATATGATGGGATGCACAGTTTGAGCATATTTAGTATCCCATCATATGATGTGATGAGCAGCCGAAGAGTTAGGCACAATTAATACGAATATGAACGACATTAGTATTTTTTTTTTTTTCAATTTCCTAAAGTATTTGACATGCCCTAAACTAAATAAGGACAAATCACATAAAAGGTGTAAGGATGCTCATGACTGGTCAGAACTTACCAAAGGAAATTAGAGGCAGATAAAACTAATGAAAAATCAGAATATTTAGCAGTTTAGTGTACCTAAATGTATCCACCTTCCATATCTGAATCCTAAACATTTGACAGTATTGCATACACAGTATACACATACCCAGTTCCCGCTTTCATGAGGTACAGAGGCACAAGCCCAAAGATAAAAAAGTTAACAATATAGCGAAGGAAAGTTATTAAAATTAAAACATTAAATTCTTTCATAATTCAACATAAATACTGGATTCATGACTTATATTGAATTATGAAATTCTTTCATAATTCAACATAAATACTGGATTCTATGGTCACTTGCTAGTGACCATAGTTTATTTACATTTCTTGTTTGCATGGAAAATAAGAGAGGAGGGATTGTAGAAACTTTTACAAGACAAATTTGATGTGGCATAACCAGGTAATTTATATCATAAATGCCACCTTGTGCGAGACTCTTGTGTGGCATGGGGTTGTCTTGTCTGTTTTTTACACACTTTTTTTTTTTGCATCATGGCTCCTTCAAAACAATTCTTAACTTAAGGTGAACACCAAGATGCTTACACAGATCAAAAGAAGGTAATGTTTACTCTCATCTACATCAATAGAGGGTATACAAATTTACTTTATACTGCACAGTATAAATGTGGAAGGGAAGTGGAGAAATAATGTTCACATAGATGTTTTATTGATATACATGTGAAGGAAGGGTGACTTCGGAGAGGCCTCAGAAACGTACTTATCTACATTTTTCACATGTAGTATAACATTAATTTCTTGTAGCATGAATTCATGGACACAACTTTTGTGTTTATGCAGGGCATACTGCATTACACTTTCCTGTATGCCACATGACAAACATGTATGTCTTTCCTGGCCAGATGACTGGCTGTCAACATTTTGCTCAATTGCACTCCAGCCCATGCCCAAATAATGGCTAAAAGCACGATAAGAACCTCTCTTCATAGTTTATAAATTAAATGAACTTAAATGGCAAAACAACTAAATTATGTTCTAATTTTTCTTGAAAAGTGCTTCATTTCCTGTTTACAAAGTGCACCTCTAAATGGGCCTCATCCATAGAGTATACTGAACAGTAAGTTCAAATATAGTACTGTGTTGCAATTTACATTGTAGCTTCTAGAATTACCATTTTTCACTTATCTGAACAAAAAACTACAAAACCTGAACATTACACTCAACACTAACCGAGGCCTCGCAGGCAGGCCTCGGAAACCAGATTCTTCAGGCAAGCTCTATATACTTAGGGGTTGATTGCATTACTGTACCATGCAACCCAGAAGACATTTAGATTACACTGTATAGATCAGCAGCCGGATTACTTGCTGACGTACAGCATATGTTTACAAATATGCCAAATTTTATTTTAAATATCTGTAAAATAATTACTGAGTGTCAGCAATGTTTGCATGTGCCTACTAACATTAAGTGACACTTTTATCCTCTTAAACCTGTCCTAAACCTGTTTACACAACAATAGGGATGAATAAAAACACCCAGGGTTGACTTCATCCTCAGCCACTCCATAGACGAAAGAAAAATCATCAATCATTTCCGATGATATTTACTAGATTAGTTTTAGCATTTTCTATTAAGTGATGATTTTTTTTTAAGTTACATAACATGCAATCAATTAAGAGATTTATTATGAGAATGGAGTATGTAAATGAGCTGAGTGAGAAAATAAAGAAGCCTATTAGCAAGAAGCAAGAAGGGTGTAAAGTACTGATAATAATGTACAGGAATAAGCAAACACAATAATACGTTAAGAGAATTCTGCACTAGTCATGCTCATAAAAAGTAGGAAAAGTCATTTGATATAAGGAAAATTAAAAAATGAGCTTACATTTTATCTTGTGATATAGGTAAGCTTTTATCAAATTACTTAAAAGCTTGTCAGAATTGGGTGTAATGGTTCTGTCACCGAAGAAAAAGGCATTGGTATAAACCCAAAATGTCAGATTTATGTAAAAGCACAACAATGCAGTACTCTGATTAAAAAACACTAAATTTAAACAAACGACTCACGGAAGCAGAAACTTGGGGTACGCATACCTGTGCGGGGAGGCAGGAGATCGCGGGGGGCTGGGGTTGTGGGTGCGCACAGCAGTGAAGCTGTGCCTCTTCTCCCGCTGGTGGCGTGTGTTTGGCCCCCGCAGGAGAGGGGCTACAGCTGAAGGTGGTACTATAGGGGAGGAGGGCGAGGGGCCAATGTTAGGTGGGGATGCAGATGTGGAGGTCGGGGAAGGTAGAGAGGGGTCGGGGCTAGTCACCACAGATGATGATGAGGATGAAGACTCTATCTGAGAGAGAGGATGAGCTTGAGCTGAGGGAGGACCACTCCCCTCACTCAGTATGAGGGGGGTGGGGGACTCCCCCTCTAAACTAGTGGGGGTTGGAGGGGCAACACGCGAGGGGCCCTGTTGTGCACTGAAACAAAACAATGACTCTAGACTCCCAATATATATTTAACAAAATAATGAATTAAAGGATAAATAGCATTATTCACTATTTTCCCCCATTCTCTTATTTGCTATATCGATACATTAATAAGAAAGAATAAATTCAATGTTAATAATTTAGATATTATATATACAAAATTTGAAACAATATAAGTATGCACAATACTAGAAAACAGCACTAAATATGTGTACAAATGCATACATGTGCAGTACACAAATATAGACGTGCAAAGAAACCTCAAAAGGTACGAAACAGAAAACGAAACATAATTTTCCCAGTTTTTCGCATACAGTATTTACATCTAAGGAATGTAGTACAATGTACTAGTTTATGCATGAGTGATGAAGAAGAGAGCAGCAATATACCCTTAAGATACAGAAAACATCGTTCCTAAGAACACAGTTCCTAAGAACACGGTTCCTAAGAACATGGTCCAGTCTAGTCCTCAAGATCACACTAATGGACCACCTACACACACACACAATGCTTGTGCACAGGACTACGTGCACTTTTTTGTGGTGTATAGAAAACCTCCGGGAAGCTTGTAACTCATTCTGCATGATGACCTGCATACACAGGAGAAGCTAGAATGTGTGTTATTACATATTTGTAGGTACAGGTAGAGATGTGTTTGTGGTGTCCCATCATTACAAACATTATCAAATGGTTGAAAATGTCATTGTCTTAACACACATTGTTGTCAGTCTTATTTCAACATTTTACAACAATTTGTAGAAATGCATTTCATCCTATTTTGTTTTCACATCACTTTAACCCCTAAACTACACGGCCTCCATATATGACACCCCCCCCCCCCAGGGCACAGGAAATAAATTCTCTGGAAAAAATTCTTTTTTGTTTTGAAAGTGTCAAAAACCCTTCCCCGAGTATGGATATAGTAACAAAGTCGAAATTGTACGTACTTTGGCTGCTATGGGGTCCGTAAGTTGGCCCGTGACGTCATCATTCCCTGGTCGCCCGTGGCGTATGCCCCAGGGGCCGGCAGGGCGCCCGGGGCAGGATGCGCGAATTACCGCAAATATATTTTTGTTCATTTTCTGCGCACAGTTCCAAATACATTTTATTTGCTTTTACATGCCAGTCCTATGTATAATGAACACATACACTATATTATGGCAGTAGAACATCTGTACTGTCCAAAGACACTGTGTTACGTGCATGACACACGTGTACACATATCCGGCACATATTTCCATTGTATCATGCTAATTTATGTATGTATACAGTCTATTTACACACTATACACTATCACACACTATACATTCACCATCAACACACTCAGACTCCACGAGTGTCAGCTGCCACACCCTCACTCCTCCAACATCTTACTCGCCAACATTGCTCCTCCCTCTATACTGTTATTGTATATATTACACTATTTACACATGTTATGTATACCTATCTACATGTTTTATTCACTAGAACTATGCAAGTAAGCTGGTATTGTGTCCAAACTTTACAGTAGCCACCATACACTGCATGAGAAATCACACAGCAGCCAGCAGACGACACTACGATTACATCACCTCCCTCATCAAAATAGCTCCTCCCAACATACTCCTGTTGCTGTTATTACACTATATACACACATTGTATATACCCATGTACATATGTGTTCACCATAGCGAACCACTATGCTAGAATGATGAGCAAAACAAGAGTGGCTGCCCCACACAGTGAGGCTACCTCAATTCTCTCCCTCTCCACAATTCCTCCTCCCACAATACTACGCACAGTGATTATCATCACCACAATCCTGCTGTTATCACAATACTGATCACTAAATCCTGTAAACACATAATTGACAACAAGTTTATTTTGTAAAAGAACCTAAGAAGTCGTTTGAAGATTCCTAGATGGACGAAATAATGCTGTGGCTATCGTGAACAGCATTGAATCACTAATATTTGAACATTGTACAGTCAATATCACACTCAGGCTCTTCTGTAATACTAGCATGGCCAAATAATACAGGTTATATATATATTTTGACATTATTAGGCGATGCTGTGGTCACAAGCTGAACAGCAGTGCTGTGAGCTCATGCTGTGCACGCCGGCCTTGGTTGCTCACTCACTACTGAGGCTCTCACACCCGGGAATGTGGACCACGATTTTTTTTAAAGATGGCGTCTGTTTACAAGAGCCCTGAGGAAGCTGATGTGAACCCCATGTAGCCGCGGGAGTTTTGAATGGAACGTGAAAATTACAAATACCCGGAGGCGTGTAGCGCACCCCAGATGTAGGCCTGCAGGCGTGTTGCGCAGTTAAAGGGTTAATCTGTAATTTGCAAATGAAATCTTGCCTTTTCATCTTGTACTGTATTTATAATAACTTCCCTCTCAGTCGTTTAAATAAATATTGATAAACATACATGTAGCTAATAATTCATTTGTTTTATTGGGAGCAGAGAGCCTTTGTGTACATATATATATACTTAAGTGACTAAAGAGGAACGAGCTCTAGCTCTTAATGCCCGACTCTTAGCCATTTATACCTGACACTCTAATTATCTCTGAACATTAACACTTTCATAAAAATGTTTTTTTAATGTTATGGATGGAACTCCATATACAGTACTTATATTGAACTGGCTTCAATAACCTCTTTCTTCGATGCAGTCCACTTGCAAACCACCCATACAAGGAACGAGGGCTTCCTTACGTCTCTTTGAATCAATTGCATGTCCAGCTTCCACTGATGTTACCTTATCCAACCTTCATTTAATTTAAATGGGCTTTCTTTCTCCACTTTACCTGCGTCATGGGGTTCTGGGATTTCTTCTACTCCCATAGCCCAGCTTAAGGCCAAGCTTGACTTGTGAGAGCTTGATCTAACAGTCTGTTGCTTGAAGGAGCCCGCAGGCCCACATATCCACCACAGCCCGGATGGTTCTGCACTTCTTGAAGAAAACTATCTAGCTTTCTCTTGAAGATGTCCATGGATGTTCCGGCAATATTTCTTTTACTCGCTGGAAGGATGTTAAACAACAGTGGACCTCTGATGTTTATACAGTGTTCTCTGATTGTGTCTATGGCACTTCTTTTCACTGGTTCTACTTTGCATTTTCTCCCATATCGTTCACTCCAATATGGTGGTATTTTAATGTGTAGATTTGGGATCTGGCCCTCTAGTATTTTCCATGTGTATATTATTTGATATCTCTCTCGTTTCCTTTCTAGTGAGTACATTTGGAGAGCTTTGAGATGATCCCATGAACCAGCACAGCCGTACCCAGCACCAGCACAGCCGTACCCAGCACCAGCACAGCCGTACCCAGCACCAGCACAGCCGTACCCAGCACCAGCACAAAAGCCGCTGAAGGCAACACAGCAGCAACGAGCACCAGCAAAGCTGATGCAAACATCTAAATACATCGTGTGTGAAGTGAACAATTAGAACAAGTGTTCAATTTAAGTGTGTACATAGTGTTAAAATTAAAGTTGCAGTAATTTTAGTGTACAATAGTTTTCATAAACTGTATTGTAGTACCCAACATACAGCAGAACTACTTTTAATCAACACGTGCTAACGGCATAATACACTGCAGTACTGTACATATTTACTGTAGAGCATTCACAACTCCATGAAACTTCAAGATGGACATAACTCCAACAATAAGGTAAATAACAAATGAATTACTGTATTTTTTAGTAGAGTAGCAATATATAGGTACAGTATGTAATATGATAATGCATTTTTATTGTGTGCAAGAAAAAAAAAAGACACTGACGCAAAAGCCTCCTGAAGGTCACCTCTTGCAATGAATCCAACGCTCCAACGCACTGGGGTTGGTCCCATATAGTACGCTGAATCAAGGTTGTACTGCATAATCAAAGCGGGGCAGCTGCAGGGCATCCAGAAAGACAACCAACCTCGCATGTTGCTGCAACCTAAACCTCACATGCAACGCTAAAGCTGCCTGCACCCGAATATCAGTTTCAGTGTACTGGGTGAATGTAGTACAGGCAAAGAACACCACTCGCAGGACTCCGGGTCATAGGTGTCACTGACCCCAACAGGCAGCATGAAGGAGGCGGACGGTGAGTGTCACCATGGGACAAGGGAACAGAGCAACCTTCAAACTCGCACAAGGCTGACTGCCGAGGGAAGCCCAGGCGAGGTACTGCTAATTGGTTATCCCAGAGTTACCAAGCAAACAAACTAAAAGTTGAACCCCTGCGACGTGTGCAAGCACAGAGACCTAGTGGAGGGCCACCAAAATTATACAACTGGTCCTACCACCACACAAGGCAGACCCCCACCAGGCAAAACAAAACAAAACAAAAACCCTGTAAAAGCACAACGTCTCCAGGTGAACAGAACCGGTTGCTATGCGTATATCAGACAGCTGCACAGTACCTCACGCCCCAGTTAGCGATGAAACTACCTCCTACCCAAGGAAAAACAGGAGTAAGACCATCCCAACTGAACCCCCAAGGGAGGGCAAATGACCGAGCAGCAACAGAACCACATGGAGGTAGTTCCTGAATGACTCAGGGAAGATAACACTGAGGCCGCAGGGGACATACTTACAGGGCACCTAGGGAAGGTGGCCCTAGGTACATGCACCCCAGTACTCTTGTGGCTCACACACCGCCAAAACAGAGCAACAACACAGTTAAGCAGCACTGCTCAGAGAGTGGAGCCAGAGCGATCGACCGTCACCATCACAACAGCCTCTTGAACTCAGGAGAGTTGCTGGTGGGGAGGTCTGGGACCCCCATCCCCCTCCTGGGAAGGGGGGGGGGGGGAGCTGCGCAGACGGATGCGCGGTGGTTGTGGTGACGTCATGTTTATTTCCTTGTTTCTGATTGGGGAGTTCTGTTTGCTCGTTCAGCTTTCGGTTTGCAATTTTTGACCAGCAGTACTTTGTTTTGGAATTCCTACCTTTCTGGGTGCCTGACCTGGCAGATGGCAGACAAAGACTGCTTCCAATTACACGGG